CTGGGACGACTGGACAGGATCGGGGACCCCCCCCCCCTGATACCCACCTTGAGCGGCCTGCATGCGTGCAGAGCGAGCATTGACATGAATATGTTGAAGACATTTGCCAGCAGATGATGGATCAGGAAGGACATGAGAATCAGATTATTGAAGCAGATGATTGAAGCAAATAGGCGTGAAATTTACATAGGAAGCCCACAGATATGCGATGGCAGCAAAGTCAAGAAGGTTAGAACACAGCAGAAGGTGCTAGCAGCGACGCGCTGATTCTTTTGAACTCTGCCCCGCTGTGGTGGCTGGGCTCTCTAGGCCTTCAACAAGAACCACTGAACAAGAGAACCCGTTGCCAACCACAGATCGTGCCCCCTATGCCAGTACTCATACTGAGCAGAGCGCAACGGATGCGCAGAAGACTGCTGCCAACTTTGCAGTTCTGGTTGATGTTCAACCGGTCTTTGAGGAAACGCCAGCATCTGTCAATGATCTGGGTGCCCTTTTTGACTGTGATTGCCTTCTTGCTGCCGGGGAGGACATGCTTGTGCAACTCCACATACTTTGGAGTGAGCCATTTCCATTCTCCATTGACTTTCACCCGCTTCTTTTTGTGGATGACCCGGTCATGGAGGACACCCTTGACTTTGATGGCATAACTTTTTGCCGAGTCGGTGTGGAGAATAATGTCACGGTGTTGAAGCCATTTCACAGCCAATGGTTGCCATTCAACTTTTCGAATAGCACCGGGGCCTGGAGCGCGAAGTTTGGAGATGACTGGCTTCAAGCGATGGAGGACAAGCGTCTGAGGTTTACCTCTTTGGACAATGCCGCACCACTGCTCCCAGTGCAGCTGTCCATTCACGACCTTCTTGTCAAACGTGGCTTCATCGGCTTCCACGTCCTGCCATTTTCCACCTTGCCCAAATTTGATGTCCTTCTCCTTGTTCCTGACCCACCTTTCACGTAGCTGGCCTAATCTCTTCTCCATATCCTCAATGCTCTTATGGTTCACATGCAGGAGGCGATGGATGGTGGGGTGGGAAACACGGTTGAGCAGGAGCATCAGTAAACATGCCTGGGTGGCAAGCGGTGTAGAAGAAGAGCCCCAATGATCCACAAAAATGGGGTGAGCATGATGCGGGTTGATGTAGGTGTGGCATTTCTTGGCACTGCATCTATGCTTTAGTAAACCTCCAAGTTGTTGAAGGCCACCAAGGGTGCCACGGCAGCATCGCGGACAGACATGCCCTTCCCATTTATGAAGAAGTCCATCTTCACGAAGCATCTTCACCAAAGTAGATGGAGAGCTTTGCAAAATTTGTGCCAAGGAGCGCTTCCATTTGCAGCGGTCCATGCGAACTTCAGGAACTGCATCAGGGGATCGCACATACTTCACTTGCTTCCATGCCTTGGTCTTCATGCTCGCAGGCCGTTTCAATACAGCACGTAGCTTACCTTTCTTGGGCACGGGAAAGTTGTTGAACTTGGACATGGCAAGGCGCAATTTCGGAGCTAGGCGGAAACCAAACAGCTATAACGAGTGACAAAATTGAATCAGACACTGAATTTGAATGAGCAATTAGGTTTGGTATGGTGCTGGTGGACTTGGAGTGGAATGATTTGCAAGCGCTTGCAAGCATGAGGGTAGACAAACTCAGTTCCGTTGACAAAAGAAGCTGTGGGACAAACTTTTTTCCCCAGATATGATCAATGCGATAGCTGTCTATCCGGAACGACAGCATGTACGCAAGCTATTGCACGTGAAGTACACGCACAATAAATTGGTGAAGCTACAGTAGCTACTCCTAAGCATCAAGAGTGCCTAGCGCATGAGCTGCCTCTTCATCTGCAGCGGTGTGTAGCAGAGCAGCTTCAAAGTCCATCTCATCATTGGTGCCATCCTCCAAGACAGCAGTCTGTGCCTCGGCAGCCTGAGCCAACTCTTCCAGCTCTTGAGACACAGGTGTTGCTTTCCTCCGCACACGGCGGCCAGGATAGACAAATGGACCAACACGACGACCAGAACAATGAGTTCCAATGGGTGGCACAGGACGAGCAGCCAAAGGCACCTGGTCGTCGTCATCCGACGATGGAGAGCCTGGAAGAATGCGGATGTCCTGAGATCGGAACAGTGCATCTTGAATCTTGCCGTTGACGAACTCAATGTAACCCTGGACTTCCTCATACTCTGCCATTGTGTTCATTGCCTGCTCCAGCATCCTTTGCCCTCGACCTACATCAGTATCAAAAGAGGGGCCAGTTTCCATGGAGCCTGCCTTGTACTTGCCATAGAAGGGCTTGTCTTTGTCAGCCAGCAAGTCTTTGTGCAAGTCGTCTACACAGATGCGGTGGATGATGGCCTCCTTATTCTCACTGGGCAAGCGCAAGTATAGAGCCATACCGGTGAAGACGAAGATGATGGAACGTTTCAGAACAGCCAGAACATCTTTTTCCTTCTCCCCGGCAAACAAGTCATCCAGCATGACCAGAAAGCGTCCTGGAGGGAGAGTAGTTCCAATCTTTTGCTCTTCCTCCAAGTCATCTTTCGGATCATTGGAGGCATAGGCCCGCAACTGATTCCTGATGAGGCGGGTATCATTGTAGCGGGACTCAACAGTTCCATCCTCATCCACAGTCAGGAAACTCTTCAAGTCAGCCATGCTCACTTTGGCGCGGCAAGGGTCATCAAGGAACAAGGCTTCTTGAACGCGAGGAGCGCGGTGACGAAAGTTGTCCAAAGACTTGGCCCTACGCCACCCAGGTTTCAAGTTTGTATCACCACTCAGGCGTACATGATACCTTCCCAGGGCCATTGCCAAGATCACAACAAAGGGAGTCTTGCCAACTCCTGGACACCCCAGCAACAACACGCCAAAGTTGAGCATTAAGGGGTAGAGGAGAGGCAAGAGGGCTGAGTGTAAGAAGGGCTTGAGGCTGTAGGTAGTCAAAGGGAACTCTGTCATGCTCACGGCTCCCGCTTGTCCTCGACTTTTGTTCTGGCACATGAGCCGAACCTTTGGCTCGGGCCAGCTGGCAATTGGCGTGCCGGAGTCGGACTTGATGTTTATGAGGATCCACAGGGTCTGCTCATTTTGTGCGTCACACTCTGGTGCATGCGCATTGATGAACAGAACGCCTTCCTCAAGTTCAGCATTTGATGGGGACCATGAAGGTTTTGGTGGAGCACTGTCTGCAGTCTTCTCTTCTAAGACATGCCAGCGGAGCTGATAACCACCAAGTTGACCTAGAAGCCATTGGGTGGCTTTCTTCACTTTCCATGGGCCTGCTCGATGGACAGGTAAGTGCATTTTGCCACTGCAGAAAGAACTGGCTAGTTGGGAAGAGATCGGACGGGACGTGTAGATCACCTTCAGGACGTCAACCTTACCATCGTCCTTGCTGACATGGATGAAATCAACCTTGGATCCTTCAGGAAGAGGGGCTTTGAATTTGATGGCTGCTGGAAGGCCTTCCACATCTGACTCGGAGAGCTTCTTGGAAGTTTCAGCAGGGTCTCCACAGGCTTCCATGGACAAATGGACATCAAAGACGAGCCTAAAGGGCTGGACCTTGACACATTCCCGGCAAGCCTCCGCAATGAACTTGTCCATGGCCAAGGGTGTCTCACAATCAATGGGACTGTGGTCTGGCTTCTCTAAGAGACGTAGAAGCATCTGTTTGCCAGCCAGGTCTGCAATGGCCGTGTCCATCAAAGCGCCGGACATTTTGGTCAAATTTGAGAGCAACGATTGCGGGACAGGGCTAGAAGGCCAGGCTGAGCCAAATGTCACACAAGAAAGCAGATGTGAGGCAAGCAGAAGGAACCAATGTGCAGCAGACAAGCGCAATGTTTTGTTTTTGTTGTTTACGTTGCGGTTTTGGATATACAGCTAGGTTGGAGCTATGCACTATCTTACTTTCCCTGTATACCCTTCTTTTAAAGACAGCATACCTGCATCATGTCACCCTAACCCCAACTAACAATACTATTGTCACGCTGCAATAAGATTCCTTTTGTTCACCGCACAGCCGCTATCTAGAGTCCAATGCGAATCTTCAAGGCAGCGATCTCGCCCTTCAGCTTCGCATTCTCCTTGGCCAACTTGTCTCGCTCGGCTTTCACACGCATAATCTCTTCCTCGATTTCCTGGTGGCAGGCAATGGCATCGGAGAACTCCAAATTTTCGGCTTGAAGGCGGGTGATCTGTGCAAGAAGCTTTTCGGTGGTGGTTCCAGAAGACTTGGCAGATACATTGGATGACTTTGATGCCTTAGATGCTCTGGAGGGTGCCTTGGATGACTTCGATGCCTTAGATGCTCTGGAGGATGCCTTGGATGACTTCGATGCTGTAGAGGACGCCGCGGACGCCTTCGAAGAAGATGACGAGGGCGATGATGATGAGGAAGATGACGACGAAGAACGCTTGCGCTTGGGCTGAGGAGGAAGATGCTTCATGTCCTCGAGTGCCAGCTGAGGAGGTGATGAGGGATGTGCTTGGGCTGCCTTCTTTGGTTTGGCGAGGTTGGTCTGCAGCCTGCGTGTGGCATCTTGGGTCCATACTCCACTGATGCCGGTGGGGATGCCCAACTGTTTCTGGACACAAACCATTGCTGAAGCCAAGGCCTTTTTGTTCATAGGGAGTCGTGACGAGTGAACATCCCAGAGCTGAACATCCTCAACGGTCGGGCGAGGAGCCTGAACGTAGACCACCTCCACGCTTGCAGGTTTCAAGCGCAATGTGGCTGAGCCATTGCTCAAAGAGACGCTGCCCTCGATTGGAAATTGCATGTTTGTGACCTTTTTCTAGTCAGAGACTTTTTTCGGATGAGATAGGCGGCTGCAGAGATGAACAGTGATGTGCTGAACTGAAAGTGTCTGACTAGAGTAACTGTTTCTCAGACCAGGTTTGACACCACCAAATCCCAGGCGCCTCTGCGGTGGTTTGTAGATGGCTTTGGAGCAGTTTGCCTGAGCAACTTGTTTGTGTGAGTTTTTTGACAGATAA